CGCCAATATCACATCTGGAAGAATTCCCAGGAACGTCTCTCCTCCCTCACTAGGCTCTCTCAACCGAATAAGGAATCGCCCTCCATGCCTGTCAGGCTTTGTATATCCCGGTCGCACCTCCCGCTTTACCTCATCTATCTCCTTGTACTGCAAGCGTAAACCCTCACCACATCGCTGCCAACTTTCCCAAAGATACAAGAACATCGCAGCATCTCGATAAGCCTCTGCCTCTCGCATCTTCTTCAGAACTCTCACCTTATTCCGAATATACTGAATAACATTCAGTAATTTTTCCCATACCAGTGGACGCGCCGATTCTTCCACCACTCCCCGACTCAGTGCATATTCCCTATAGGATTTTTTAAAGATCTTCACCCGGCTACTCTGGCATGGGTCATCACCCTCCTCTTGTTCCATAAGTCGAAAGCTTTTAAGCAATTTATCAACTGTGGATGGCGAAACCATCGGTTCGCCCTCATTGTCAGTCGTGTGACATCTGCTTTCTACCTCCACCAACCACTCACTACTCAGAAACGAAAGAACATCCAAGTCATTGCAAGTCATAAAGCTTCTTCCAACTCCATTCCTCTCAAGCCACTCATTCAAACCGAGAAGAAGCTTCCGCATTCCATTCCGCCATCGCTTCCCAGGACCAAACTCCTCAATCAATCGGCTGCTCCTCTCCAACCCTGCCTGATATCTCCTTGCTATCTCCGGCGTCGCTCGCTTCTGACACCAGCTTCCATTACTCATCCGCTCGTTCCACCACTCCTTGCAAGATGACAAGTCACTTGTGGGATGATGGAGGGATTCGGGACGGTCTAGGAGGTGTGTGGGCCTGCGGCCCAACTCTATGACTCTCTTCTCAGTGATCTGGCATCATCCATGGTGTGTGCATTTTTCATTTTATCCGGATCAGGCCTGGACAGCAACCCACCTAAAAGCAGTTACGCGGTTGGCGACAGCTTCTTCGGCCCAGGGCCTCATCTTCAAGGCTCCAGGACACGCAACAACCCAGAAGTGGTTTTTCTTCTTTTTTCTTTTCTGATTTTTCACTACAGTTGATCTTCGTCATCTACGGGCAGTTCTTCTACGATCCTACTGGCATTTCTTCGGTTCCAGTATCTACGACGAGAATTTTTCGTATTCAGAATTTACGACTACTACAGGAGGGACCAGCGAGACTCACCCAGCAGGAACTAGTCCCTCGGCGGCCCGTCCTCCGCTGCCCCCAGTCGCTGCGAGAGTATATGTAACTGGTGCAGGACCGGTCGCTGCAGGCGGTGTCAACTCGTGTTGACCACTCTCCGGATTTCTTCCACCAGCCGCTGTGCCCATCGCATACGCAAACCTGCACGTCACATCAAGACGAAGTCAGCCAGACATTTGGAGGACGGGTCATTCACATCGCCTATTCTGGTGAAGCGGCCCCACCCACCCTCGATTTTCGGAGGTGTGTGGGCCTGCGGCCCAAGATGGAGAAGAAAATGAAGAAGGAGAAGAGGAGGGAGTACTAGAAGTGGAGGGAGGTTAGTGCCTGCTGCCCGACGAATTTCTTAAAAAAAAAAACAAAAAAAAAACGGAGGTGGGTGATGGAGAGAAAATGGAGATGAGGAAGAAGAGGATGGAGAGAAGATGGGGAAGAAGAAGAAGAAGAAGAAGAAGAAGATGGAGAGAAGAAGAAGAAAAAGAAGAAGAAAAAGAAGAAGAAGAAGAAAAAGATGGAGAGGAGAAGAAGAAGAAGAAGATAAGATGGAGAAGAAAATGAAGAAGGAGAAGAGGAGGGAGCACTAGAAGTGGAGGGAAGTTAGTGCCTGTTGCCCGACGAATTTCCGAAAAAAAAAAAAAAAAAACGGAGGTGGGTGATGGAGAGAAGATGGAGATGAGGAAGAAGAGGATGGAGAGAAGATGGGGAAGAAGAAGAAGAAGAAGAAGAAGAAGAAGAAGAAGAAGAAGATCAGGGCGAACTTGGCAATGTGCGATTTTTCGAAATAAAAAGAGAAGAAGATGAAGAAGAAGAAGAAAAAAAAAAAAGGGAAAAATTAGGGCAAAGTTGACAAAGTGCGATTTTTCGAAGTTCAAAGACTAGTGGTAGTACTACTAGAAGAAGAAGAAGAAAAAAAAGGAAACAAAAAAAAAGATTAGTGCGAACTTGCAAGATTAGGGCAAACTTGCCAATGTCCGATTTTTCTAATAGAGAAGAGTAGAAGAAGAAGAAGAAGAAGAAAAAAAAAACAGATTAGGGCGAACTTGCAAGATTAGGGCAAACTGGCCAATGTCCGATTTTTCTAATAGAGAAGAGTAGTAGTAGAAGAAGAAGAAGAAGACGAAGAAGAAGAAGAAAAAGAAGAAGAAGACGAAGAAGAAGAAGAAAAAGAAGAAGAAGATTTCACGAATTTTAGCTGCAGCCCCACCATGG